TATTAAAAGATAAGATAAAAAGACTTATTCAAATACTCAACAATAAAAGACCAAGTCAAACTACTGAGACAAATTACTAACAGTCTCCCTTTTGATGATTTATTATCGGTGGTCCGTCACCTACCACCGTACTACGGCATTTTATCCGTCTGAAATTCTTGCCGTGTTTTTGACGGTCACCGTTAAAGTTAACAGAGTTCGATTTTTTTTTTTTTTTTNNTTTTTTTTTTTTTTCCTTATTTTTTCAGGGTAGTTGACGGGTTGGTTGGGGGTGGAAGTCAAATTTTGGTTAAAAAGTACTTGAGCTCGCAAATGACTGTCTTGTCCCTCTTAAATATGATCTGTTCCACACATGAATTGGGTGGGATATTAATTTTTTTTTTTTTTTCAATTTAAATCTACCAACCAAAAAAAAAATAACACAATCTATTTATCTCATTTTATTTTCATCAAATTCCCTTCTTACATTTTTTAGTTAAAAATCAAATATTACTATATATTTTTCTATAAGTTTTAATTATTATAAAAAATTTATTAGCCATTCATTCACATATTTATAATTGTCAATCATTATTTTATTTTTTTCTCTGTCACATTATAATTAATTATTACGCCTTATATCACATGTTCCGTATTTACAAAAAAAAAAATATTTATTTTCCCTCTCAATCTACCTTCCCCAAAAAGAAAAAATAAAATAAAAAATATCCGTTTTGCTATGAAGTCAATAGTTGACTCTATAAACAAGTAAACTTACCATATTCTCTGATTACTTAAATAACATTATAAATACGGTATGATTTACTTGTTGTATATAAAAAATTGGCTCCACAATGGAGCCAACTGTTGACTTCATAGCAAAATCGAGTAAAGTATATCCAACTGTTCTGCATCATTAATACTTCACAACTCAAAATCTAATAATCCAACAATATACAGAGATCAAACCTATCTCTTGGTTGCATTCACTGTAACATTTTCACCTGTTCAGTACAGATTTTAAGAAAAAATGGCTTTCAACACAGAAACACAACCAGGACAAGACAAAAGGGTAGAAAGTCAGATTTTCATATGAGTATAATAAATCTACAAAATCTATTTAGCTCCTTTTTGCAGTCCAAATCAACTTTGATCCTTAAGTACACAAAAAGCTATAACAATCCTTGACCTGCTGCAAATTCACAAAACAACAGTCATCTAAAAGTACATAAGAACCTTAGATATGATCTTACCTCAGCAATCAAATAGGGGCTCCATTGAAGGGGTTACTGTAGATTTTAGTGCTCTCCCAAAATTTACACAGCTAGAAGCATTGACAGTATATATATATATATATATATATATATATATATATCCATGGATATATATTCCACTTCAACTCTTCTGTTATTACTGATGACGGTCGACCAAGTCCTCATGTAAACGACTAAACACCAAATTAACGGGTATACACGCGACCGTCTTGCATGTATTCACATTCTTAATCAATCTACTGCTTCTCGAGCTACTCTTATTTTTCCCCAGTGCAAATGACGAAAGCGCCCTTGTCTTTTGATTGGATCCCTTTTGCGCAGAAAATGATGGTAAAAACGGGCGTGGCACACGGGTATTTGCCGTCCTACGACCCGTCCTCCACATTGAAGTCAGTGGGACCGGGCTAGGGGAAAAATAGTCGTTCGACGAAACATATGTTTCAGTCGAACCGCTCTCGAGCGCTTCGATTTGGATCGGGTGGCCCACGATGGCGTGCCCGTTCAACTTGCTCATCAGCGAGATGATTGGAACATTCCTACGGTAGTTATTTGCCTCAACCTTCAAATCCACATCTAACAACATGGGCCCACCACCAAGAACATTATCATGCGAGTCATTCAAATACCCTCTCATGGCAGACCGACTGTACCAACCTAAGTTCCCCTCGAAATCTGCAAACTCGTAGGGACTGTGTGATGGCGTGAGCCCATATCTGGATTTACGGCTCTTGAAACTTCGATCGGCAAAATCGGGAATATTATTACGACTCCTGTTCGAGCTCTTTATGTATCCTTCGTTACTGTTCCCAAAGTTGCGGTTATTTCTTTTTCCTTTGTGCTGCCATTGGGAAACCCCGGTATTGGTTGAGACATGGCTGTGTGAGTAAGGATGAGACAAACTGTCGGCAAATGCCAGCTCATCAAAGTCCTCACTGCTGCTGATGCTCGCATGTTCTTCTGGTGCTTCGATTCTTCTCGGGTATTTAGGTCGCAATTCTATAGAGGCCGAACCATCTGCAGATCCAGAAATACAGTATAGGTTATATAGTGAACTTTGATGTTATATCCAAAAAATTGCTGTTAATGGTAATAAAATAACTCACCCATTGACATGAAATGAAATAAACAGACATGAAAAAATATCAGATGCTGAGTAAACAGACATAGAAATAAAAAAAAAAAA